TGAATAAATGAGTTAAATATACCATGACTCATGATGAGAAGGCGCATCTACTAAATTTTTTTAATATTCACAAATATCAATATTTTAGAAATTATCGTAAGAATTTTAGACGTAACTGTTGATCACAGATGACATCTTTTTATTAGAAAAGACTTATACAAATTCAACATAAAAGAAAAGACTTATTTAACCAGTGGCTACTTCTTTAACAATATTTGCATCGATTACTTAAATTTCAATTATTCTTGTCTTTTTATTCTATATCTTATTATTAAGAGCTTATATCTTATTACTAAGAGCTGGTGTTTCACATGTGGTCCCATATAAATTTGATCGAGGTCAGACCAATAGTTTTTGAGTCATCCTTAATTATTTATATTAAAGTCGGTTGTACAAAATTTTTAATTTTTAATTATTATCGTAGTAAGTCTTGTATGATATCCCCTTTAAAATCATTACTCAAGAGTTGCGGGTTGTTATTTTTTGTGTCTACCAATGCTTTTCTAATATTTACTAAGAAAAAAGTAGTAAATTACTATTAGCGTCCTTTCAACTTCAAATGACCTTTCCAAAATATGTAAAAATGTTAAATGAATGGCAGTTTTTTTTATTTATTAGGTTGGGAAGACGCAAATAGTTATATGTGTCTTTCCTTCGATGTTTTTGTGTTGCCAGGTGTATTTTTTAATCTAAGATGAAAAAGAAAATTCGTTTTATTTAAATAAATAAACAAATTATCAAAAAAATAAGTTCGTCCTTAAAATCTTCATGTCTCTACGTACATATTTCAATTTTCATATAGATACCTTTTAATATACTTTAGACACGGGGTCTGAAAGAAAAATTCATAAATTTATTTTTTATTTCCATTTTACGTTGTTGTTAGTTGCGTCCTTCTTTATATTGACGGCAGAATGTAACCCGGCCGGCTCGTGTCGCCTCACGCTGTGACGCAGTAGGTTTCAGTTTATTCGTCGGGGTTCGTTATTAATTGTAGTTTTTGAAACAGTTCCGTGTTGATTTTGTACACGCGTGCGCGAGCGACAGCTCAATCGTTTTCTTTATTAAATTGTTAATACTTGTGATTACCTGTTGGTATTATTCTTGTTGTTACGTTTTTTGTTTTAATAATGCTTAACGCGTACGTTTATAGTGATTATGAATACGGCAACATGTTAGGTATCCGAACCCAGGTACACGGAGTATCGCTAAATAAATTGTTAAGACGTCGGGATTGAACAAGTGTGTCATACTGTGCAGTGCACAAAGTGTTGAAGCGTAACCGAATGCGCTCATACAAATTGCACAAAGTGCAAGCTTTAGTTCCCGGCGATCACGACCGCCGACGAGTTTTCTGCCGTTGGTTATTATACCAGCAACAACGTGTGCCTGGTTCCATTGAGCACATTATCTGGACGGATGAGTCGACATTTACCAGAAACGGCCTGTGGAACCGAAGAAATACACACGTGTATTCAGAGGTTAACCCGCACGCTGTTCGACAAACCGGGCACCAAACCCGATGTTCGGTTAACGTATGGGCAGGTTTATTTAAGGATCGCATACTGGGACCAGTGTTTCTGCCAGAGCGACTGAACGGACAGCGATACCTAAACTTTATAAATGAACAGTTGGTTGACATTTTAAACGACCTATCGTTGGCTGAATATCGCCGCACATGGTTCCAACATGATGGTGCCCCTCCACATTTCGTGAGGTTCGTCCGTGAGCGCCTCAATGAGCTATTTGATGATCGCTGGATCGGCAGACTAGGACCACACGCTTGGCCACCTCGCTCACCAAATCTGACTCCGTTAGACTTCTTTTTGTGGGGTATGTGAAAGAAAGGGTTTTTAATCGTGAATGTGATAGTGCTGAAGAAATGCGCCAAAAGATCGTGGATGCTTTCGAGAAACTACGTACGGACTGTGTCGAAGACCACACGATGATGCCCCGCCTGCACCCAAATCTACCTTGAAATGAATGGAGCACAATTTGAGCCGCATCTCATAAGACCACGGAGGATTTAGAGCGGTAAGCTGTTTCATACCTATTTTTTTTTAAATAACTTAGTACTAGACTAATCTGAATAGGTACATAACTGAATACATGAGAATAATAAACATACCTACACGATGAATAAAAACTCATGACTCCAACCTTGGTTACATTTCATTTAAGTATTTTTTCATTAGCGGGGAATCGAACCAGTTATTTGGGTTATTTAACCTGTAAATTCGGATTAAAGTGGCTAAGTGGAGACAAGCACAGTGGCAAAATAGTAGGTTAAGTAGATAAGTTAGGTATTTAGACAAGTGTTGTAAATTATTAGATATTGTGGTATGGCCCGCTAGTTGCGGGCCGCGCGAATTTGCGTTCGCGCTTACATTGACCTTTCAGTCAGGTGATATAAATTCAGTCATTCCACTGCTGGTTTTATGTTTCAGTATTTTCATGATATATTTTATGAAATTATCGTTTCATTTAGCTGTACTAACATGATGGCGCGTGAATAAAGCTAATAAAACGTTGTAAAAAGATGATTTTTTTTCATCAGGATCGAATTTATTTGTGACCCATGATCAAAGGTGTACTTGGTGTTGTCGCCTGTCTTAGTTTTCGGGAGCGTTCCAAAAATACCCTGTATATTGCTAAATTAAAACGAAAACAAAAGCACAAAGTTATTTGTAAATTATGGTACTTTACATTCATAAACCACTTTTGAAACGATTAGCAATCATTTTAATATAAAAAAGGAACTATTTATCAAGTAAAAGTGGTTTTTGAAATACATAATTTTTATTTACATTACATACTTGTCTACATTGGTACATAGAAAAACGGTTGGTACATTGATGGACGTAAGTGATGGAGTAATTAACTAATTTTTAACTTTATGCATGTAAACAGTTCTCAACAGCTCTTAACTAAATATCGATTTAATAGTTAAGTAGTTATGTAAAGCAGAATAGTCTATTTTTAAGAGATAGGCGTGTTTTAGCGAAGTATAAGAAATAAGCATTCTCGTAACTTCGCTAAAACACGTGTCAACGATTATTAGTTTATAGCTAATTACTTTATCACTTCACCTATTAAGTAAACATTTGTAGAAATTATTTTCGTTATATTATTGTTATTGACTGCATTAAAAAATAATCAGTCAACATTTTCATGTCATTAATTAGCACTACCGTAAAACGGGGTCAATAGAATTCACGGGGTGAATAGACACAAAAGCAAAAAAGTTTTACAACCCAAATTATCCGAGTGACATTAGCTTAAAGAACATATGCGTTCGTTTTTTTTCTACTCCGTTATATTTTTTATAAAATGGCAACACTTGATTGTCTATGAATTAAGACAGAAAAAAATAACCAAAGAGTATAGTAACTGTCCTATACAGGAAGTCATAACGGTGACTGTGTAATTCGCTGCAAAGTTAGGCTCGCAAAACTTGGTGTATTTTAATTAGTTAAAGTACAGTTATGTACTTAAACGAATTTAGTATATTTTAAAGCGTTAGTGAGTGCCCATTATTTTTGACAAGTAATAGTAAGTGCTGCCTAATTATTTTAGTTATAATAATGCAAAATGTGAAACTTGCCGTTTTTTTAATGGTTTAGAGGTTAATAGACACGCTAAAGGGGAGAATAGACACGTCGTACGGGGTGTATAGATACGACATGAGGAGTCATTAGATACGAGAAGGCTTGAATAGCAATACGAAGGGGGTTATTAGATACAATGCTGTTAGGGTTGTCGCTTGTACTAAAGTTTTTTGAAATATTATTTTCATCTGTTTTTCATTTAAAGAGCGAATAACAAGAAAACAAATAATAATAATTTGATTTGTTATAAATTGGAAAGAAAAATAATCTTCTTTCTCATATTTATTCATAATTTGAAAGTGAATTAGCTTGTTTGTAGTTTGTTACGCCTTCATGTTTTAACTACTCAACCTATCATGATGAAATTTTTCATACACATGTCATGTCAGAGGTACAGAGCAAGATTAAGGATTATCGTAGGGGTATTTTTATATATGTGGATTTTTTACTGAAATGTATTTTTTCGTAGGTAACATGCCGCGGCAATATAAGCCTGACCCTAGAGGCAGACGATACAAAAAATATGACGAGGAGGTGCTCAACGCAGCTATTCATGAATACCAAAGAACAAAAAATAAACCAACAGTGTCATTAAAAACAGTAGCTGATAAATATGGCATTAATAAATCTGTCTTATACAGGCACTGCACTAAAACTATGAAAATACAGGGGGGGGGGGCAGACAGTTTATTCATTGGAAGTGGAGAAACACTTGATCAAATATATCAATATCTGTGCTGATTGGGGGTATCCTCTTGATTCTTTGGATTTTAGATATTTTATTAAAAATTACCTGGAGAAAATAGGAAGAACTGTTTTAAAATTTAAAAACAATTTACCCGGTCCTGACTTTTTAGCAAATTTTCTTAAGCGTCATAAAAATGAAATCACACAGAGAAATTGCCAAAATATTAAAAGAAACAGGGCAGAAGTATATCCTGAGTTTATCAAAGATTATTTCAAAGAATTAGAAACCTCTCTGTCTGGTATTGATCCTAAAAATTTAATAAACTACGATGAGACAAACTTATGGGTAAGTAACATTACTTACTTACCCAGGCCGAAAAAAATATTAACCAAACGCGGAACGAAATACCCAGAAAGAGTCATGAACCACTCGAAAGCTTCTGTGTCTATCATGATGTCTGCGACAGCTGCTGGAGACATACTGCCCCCTACGTGGTTTACAAGGCCCAAAATCTTTACGACACCTGGACTGAAAACGGGCCAACTGGTACCCGGTACAATCGTTCTCAAAGTGGGTGGTTCGACGCCAACATTTTTGAAGACTGGATCAAAACTATTATTCTGCCGTATTTCAGGGGGAAAGAAGGAAAAAAATGTTTGATCGGGGATAATCTGTCCTCACATCTATCGATCGACGTAATACAAATGTGCCAAGAGAAGAATATATGTTTCGTGTTTTTACCATCTAATAGCACTCATTTAACCCAGCCCTTAGATGTGGCTTACTTTAGACCAATGAAAATTGCATGGCGTAATATTCTTCTAGAATGGAAGAAAAAAGATGGTAAAAAAGAATCTTGTGTTCCAAAGGGATGTTTCCGAAAACTTTTAAAAAAGCTTATCGAAGAATTACATAAAAATGCAAAAAAAAATATATTGGCTGGTTTCCGAAAAACAGGAATTAATCCTATCGATCAAAACCAGGTGTTAAACAGATTGCCAGTTGAAGATTGTGAAGAAGAAGTGGAAAAATCAATTTTGGACTTACTTAAGGAGCTACGCTATGGAACCACGACCGTCAAGCAATCTACAAGGAAAAGGAAGTTAAATGTAATTGCTGGGAGAAGTGTTGGGGATGGAACTGAAGTTAAAAATTCTAGGGATTATGATGAAATTGAAGATATATAATTGAAAAATTGAAGAAATATAAGATATTCTGAAGAAGGAGATGTAAAAAATAAAAAACGGAAAGAGGCTAATATAGGTACTGAAATCTCTAAAAGAGGAAAGGGAAAAGGAAAAAAGTCCAATAAACAAAATGAAAATAATGCTAAAGATAATGTAATCGATCAAAATTAAAAAAATACTGAAGAAACGGTTGAAGATTATGTTGATTCTGAAGACGGAGATTGTAAAAATAAAAAACAGAAAGAGGCTAATAAAGATACTGAGATATCTAAAACAGGAAAGGGAAAAGCAAAAAAAGTCCAATAAACAAAATGAAAATAATGTAAAAGAGAATGTAATTGATCAAAATGAACAAAATACTGAGGAGACGGGAAATAATGAAGAAAATGAAAAAAAAAATATGAAAATATTACATTAGACTGTGAAAATTATGATATAGAATCAATGCCAATCGTTTATAATGATGAATTTGAAATAGAAAATGAATACTCTCTGGGATTACCAATGTGTGATAAAGATAATAAGGATAGATTTGGAGATTTGAATACAAGCGCACAAGTCTTAGCAGATATTACAATTGGAAATATTGAAAAAGAAGAGAAACAAAACAAAAAAATTAACATTATTTCTATTGAAACCTTTTCTAAGGAAATACACGTAAATAAATGTAAAAACATATCAAAAAGTTCTTATATTACAAAACAAAACATGTTATTGATGATGAACCGAAACCTAGTACAAGTGGTATGAAATCTATTCGCTCAAGAAGACCGTCTTATTATAAAAATGAGAACGATATTCTTAAATATTTGATGGATGAGAACATACAATGACTTAAACTGAGACATACTACTTTTGATGTCAATCAGATAAAAAATAATATAATATAGGCATATAACTTTGTTACTATAATATAGAGTCTATATTATAGTAACAAAGTTATATACCTATGCTTAAAATAATACTAAATTACATACTTATATTTTATAAGAGTTCAATGTGCCTAATTGTAAATGAAAACTCACCTAATTAGATTTTTTTATCAATTAAATGACATTTGTTTAATGAGTAAGTGATTTACACACATTTTATTTTCATCTAACACATTAAAAAATAGTGTGTCACTTACATGCCGTCGCTGCGCTTGCAATATTTTTATTATTTTCGATTCCCGCAATTAATATCTGTTTCATCCTCGATGTCCAGATAAAGTCCTTTATGTGATACTCGAACTTGATTGAGTTCTCTAGTATCGAAGTTCCAGTATCACAAAAAGGACTTTATTAGCACACATAGGGAAACGGAGATATTTTTTATTGCGGAAAGCGATAGTCAAAATGTACATAGCGGATTTTGGAAACGCAGCGACGATACTCATTATTCAAATGTTATTAACAAGGGGAATAAGTGATAGTGATGAATTTTATTTTAGTAAAGATCTTGTGTACCTATTTCGTAACTTTTTAAAGTGCCTAATTACAATACATAATATCTTTTATCTATAGTTTTGTTATGCTAAAAAATAATAATGTTTAAGTGTTCAATGTGCCTAAAATGAAACTGTCTGTGATTTATATTTTTAATTTAATAAAAACATACCTACCTATGTAATTTTTTTATATATCTACCTATTTAGGACATTTCTGCCATGAAGTATTCATATTCAGTAACTGTAAAAATATCCTAATGTAATGATAGCGTTCAATTCATACCTATCTACTTATATCTAGAAAATAGTTTAAATAGGTACCCACTGATTAAATGTGATTATTCAAAGGAATCATGTTAGTAACAACCCTAGTAAATTTTTCTATTCACCCCTCTGGCGTTTCCTTTCACCCAATATCCCAGGTGAATAGAAAACTTTACATTTTGTCAATTTACTTCTAAATGCATGATTAAAAGAAATAAAATTATTATAAAATGGTAATATAAACAATAAGACTCATTTGAAAATAATGTAAGCGTTTATTCCGGCATAAAAATAATTAATGATAATCAAATTCAAAATTACGAGTCGTGCCTATCCACCCCGTTTTACGGTACCTTAAGTGTAATTTCTTTAACCCTGCTGCAGTGTAAGTATGGTCCTAAAATTAAAATCGGTTTTACCTGAGACTGACCAAACGCAAATAAATATATCTTACACAACAAAATGATACTAAATCACAAATGAAAGATATGGAAATATCAAATGTTTATTGCGTCAGTCTCCAGAATAATTATTTAATTTTAACCTATGCAAAATTTAAAATGTTAAACACATAATGATATCTTATATTTATTAATATTTTTTTATCATTTTCTTATATTTCTTCAATATTCTAAATAGGGTGTCTTAGGATGTTAAACACATCCTAAGACACCCTATTTAGAATTTTGAGTTAAAAGCAGCAACCAAAAATTTATTGTATTAAAGTTAACTACTTTCTTTTTATGAAGATAGTGTTATCTTTAACATATTAACTGCATTTGACATAGCCGAATAACTGAAAAATTGTCCACATTAAAAATTCAATGTATGTTTATTATGTTACATGTGGTAATTACTACCCAGGACAAAGTAGTCTGCATTAACTGGTACAATCAACCTAACGTTAAAATGTCACCACCGAAGTAATTATGACTGTACATACAGAAAAAGTAGTTCCAAGTAATATCCTATTTATTCTGCAGGATATCAATTTTTCTTTAAAGAGCAGATGCAGAGTACTCTTCTGCAAATTGCCGATTTTTCAAAATACAAAATCTCTTCACACAAATGTGATATACACTATTAATTAAGTAATCTATATTCATATCTTTATGTTCTGGACATTTATCGAGAAACTCCAAATTTATTGAGTTTTTGAATAAAACTTTAATTGTCCCTTTTAATTTCTTTTTATATGCTTCTGCCTCTAAAAAATCATAAATCATCGTAGCACTACTTTCAATACAGTTAATGAGGTTTTCAGAGGCGTATTTAAGGGACTTTTTAGATCACTATATTCTATAAAGTCAATAATAGTATGTGATCTGTCTTGTGTCTCAGATACAAAATTTTTTTTACAAATTTCACATTTATTGAGATTATTTTTTACTATAAACCCACAGATATACGCACATGCTTGTATTTCGCCACTGCTTTCTTCCAAGCTACATTCAAATGTAGAATTTACACTTGTTAAAAATAAGTTTAACTTTACAAAGTTGCTTAGTAACGCTTTTAATGAACTAGGTGTTGGCAGGTAAATCATCCTTCTTAATGATTTGTAACACCTAGCTGACCTTTTATACAGTCTTAGTGCTATTATTTTGGAGTCCATGTCCCATCTTCGACCTTTTTTTTTATAGTTTTGCAATTCTCCTTGCAAAAATAATGCAAAAGAGGGGGATATTTTACATTTTAATCTTGCAACTTTCTATGACTAGACTTACACAACCCAGACAGGATTAGTAAACCAATCAAAGTTTCTATTTCTGTTTGATCGTTTTTTTTTGCAATCTCTTTCACGTGCGTATTTACTGCGAATTTTCTCAATATACGTATTTGTGCAAGTGGTTATCTCTGCTATCATATCATCGGTAACGTAAAGTTGAAAACACTCAAGTGGGGAATACTTAGCCATACCTTTTGGACCTGGAGCTTCAGACACTATATTTTGAGAACGGGTTCTTACTGCAGTTCGTCCCTTTAATTTGAACCACCTAGTTATTTTATCCTTAGCTAAAAAGAAGCGCTCCTGAGTTTCAACCTCTTCTGCCTCAGATTCTTCTGACGATGAAGCATTCTGCTCTGACATTGAATCGTGATCACATTCTTGAACGTAATCATCATCGATGCTGGCATCACTTTCGACTGCAACGTCGTCTTCATTGTCCGACATACTAGCTTCCAACATAGCTCTCAACCTCGCTTGCTCAGACTCCAAACTCATCTAAAAAGAAAATGAAATATAAACATTGAAATATATAGAGTAGTAGGTACTTACACACAAAAATATTTAATATTTATGTCTATTATTATTGTTCACACATGAATCAGATAACTTATATACATTAACACTAAATTCTAATGAAAAAAAGATTGAAAACAACTTACCTTGCTGTTTTAGTAAATATGAAAAAGTATAGCACGAGAACTCGCGGGGTGTTGTGAGCACTCCACGCAAACTTTGACACGTCCTTGCGTTGCAAGTGCAATCGCCACACTGCCCCTCCCACCTCGATTCGTCGCGGTTGATTGTTATATGAAGCTACTCAGACGCATACACTCATAAACAAACAAATAGGCATTAATTTTTACGTTTGAAAATCTCTGGGGTGCTGTCAGCACCCCACGCGAGTGCTCGCGGGCTAAGCTAGAACTAAAACATAATAAAAACAATGCATTATAAATACGTGATATTAATGACACGAGGAAACTAAAAATGAACAAATCGAGAAAATTAGGAAGTTTTATTTGTTATGGCAGCCCTAAAAATTACCTGTGAAATATGAAACGTGGGCTCTAACTTTGGAAAACGGTACTGTAATTCGTAACGCGTAGTGTTTCTATATAGTTTGTGAATTCGTGTAGAATCTACTAGTTAGTCTGTGGTATTGTAGGCCCGTTATTGTATCATTCTTCTTCACAAGCACGTTTGACCTTCGAGATAATATCCCTGCCAGCAATTTTAATCACTTTCGGCATAATGATGACGATTATTTACTGCAAAAACGAATAAAAACACGACACCTAACACTCTGTTTTGACACCTGCCATAAACAGTAAGATGGCGGTACACGATTAGTTTCAATTTTGGCCGCGCGCAGCAAAGATAATATAACCACTACGTTTACGCTATATATCGATACTACAATATATATCGATTTTTTTTTCACTTGGCTATCCCTAGCTTAAACGTTTATTTTATTAAGATTTTTAGCTTGGATGCTTATCTTTTAAGCCATGTCTTCATTTCATTCGGGATCTTCGTTTTACGTTTACAAATTTTCAGTATCAAGCATAGACTTAA